GGGGCAGATCGATCGCGCGAGCTGAACGTGTTCTCTTGAAAACGACCAATATCTCCCTGTTGAGAATATGAAATTTTTCCGCTGGTGAGCGTTTAACTTTCCGCACTTTCCTCGACATACATCTGGCCGAGAGAAGAGTGTATTGGAGAATTTTTCGTCGTGAAAAAAAAATGATATATTGCGATTTCATTAAGGATTATTTATATTATTCATCAATATTTATTTCTGACGTATGTTTTGTGTATGAAAAATACGTGTTTGCTGATAAGTCGACTTCGTTTTCAGAAGACAGCAGCTGGATCAGTCGGTATATTGCGAGGCCGAGTCGCGACGAGCCAACACCGTGGAAGATGACAGGCAAGACGTTCAAGGCACTGCTGCCACAGAAAAGGTTAAAGTAAGTAAAAAATTGTTCCATCACTTGATCCGTTGTTTTACATTAAGAAAGCGGCGTTGATTTAAGATTTCCGTAAGAGAGAACTTCATTTTCACAAACGCGAAAAATAAGAACAACATTTATTTCGAAAAATTTGTTGCAGAGCACAACGCAAGATCTTTTCGAGTTACTTGAACGAGTGCAGAGTTCGCGTCTCGACGATCAACGATGCGTCCTGCCGTCATACTTTTCCCAGGTATGTGACAAAATTTATATTATCTCTCAAAATTATGCGTGTAGGTAGAGGAAGTAGCATTTTCGAAGTAAAATAACGCGCGCAAAGCTATTTATGGCGTGATTAGTATCTTACTTCTTATATATTTTTGGAATGACTACGAATAGCGGTACCCGTATATATAAAGAATATACTCTAAAAAAGGAAAAAAACACGCTTAGCTTCTCGTTATTCAATTTAATCGCGATTTAACGACGTTCCCACGAAGTTCCCGACCACGTCTGAAATTATGATTTCTTGCTTCTTATTTTACGGTTCTTTACGACCAGTTTAATTTTATAACACGTTGAGTTGAGAACAAAAAAAAAAAAGAGAATTTTTCCTTATCTCTGTTGTAATGAAAACCCTCGAGTTTTTTCTCTCGCGTCTTTAGATTTAATTATTCTCAATTGTCCGTTTCTTGCGAGCGCGATTATTATCAGGTCGTTTATATAAATCCTTTCTGTATGGCGCGTGACACAGTTCGCGCTCGGTCGAGACGACGACAACGGTCGCGCGTGAACGAATCGAAGATGAATGGACAACAAGCGAGAATGAGAAGGAAGATGAATGAACAACGCCGATCTCCGTCACGGGACGTGGACGAAAAAACTCAAAGACGAATCGCTTGATCACGCGTTGTTTGATTTCCTGCGATCGAATGAGAACCAAGTCGTTGCGCATAGAATTCTATGGGATCCGTCTTTTTGCCAGAATCAATCGGATCAGTTACGTTCTAAATCGGAAGCGTGACGGAAAAACCCCGAAAAACGAAGACAGACATTTCTCGCCTCGTGTCGAGTTGCGCTTTTTGCAATAATAAATCGGCCGCAAAAAGAAACTCTTCTTCTTTTCGTTAATAAGTGTTCCTTAGACTTAAAATTCACGTTGAAGTTATCAGTTACAGTTCGTTTCATCAATAGTGCGCACTGTAATTTGATATTTTATCTGATTATTTTAGCTGAATAAGTCTTCAGTCTTCCGTTTTCAATCAGAGAAATTAAACGGTTTTTTTTTATACTCGTGGGAAGTGTCATCGCGGACACGCAAAAAAGATGTCTGCAGGAAGTTGCGTGTGTGGGAACCGCTTTTGAGAGATATTGGCGCGTCTCGCGCTCTCAGTTTCGTTGGCAAATTGCGATCCGGATTTCACAACACACAGGCTGTAATCATCTGCGTGCCACATGCCGTCTCGCAAGCTTGTGAGAAGCGCTTGCTCGTCTTTACCCTATCATGCTATTCTTTTTTGTTTTATCTCTTTTTTTTTCTACCTGATCGATGGTGTATGTTTCTGCTGTCGATAATGCAGTTCTGCTCAATACGAAAGGTTCTTGATGGTGTGTACGCTACTGTTCTTATCGACATAGGCTAAGAGAATCGTTGATAGAAAAGAGCTCTTCTTTATCGTTGAATGAAAACAATATTTTCTTTTATATACATGTGTAGTACATTTTAACTATTATTTTAGAGTAAATGTGTGATTAGAGGTATTTAATGAGAAATTAAACAAATAATTATATTTCTATCAGTCTTCAAAACGACCTTGTGATAATCATAAAAACTAAACGATTTGTTTATAACATTATCTGTGCCAGTGTAGTATCAGTTTTATTATTTATTATTTTTATCAGTTTTTAAATGACATTTATCAATTATTGCACAAGCTTTTCCCAGTGCAATCAATTTTTTTTCTATCGGGCATCAAATGGTATATTTTTATGGAAATTCCGAAATATAGTGTCGATTTGCAGTAAAATGGGAAGCGCTACGCAAAGAGCGAAACAGAGAGGACGCACTGTTTCCGGTCGGCCAGGTAAGCGCACCGGAAGTTGCCGCTTCGAACAGTCGTGGTGTGGCCGAACGGCCGGGAAGATTTTCAGATTCGTACCCTCTGCGCACCGGCCGTGAAGATTGTAGATTCGCGGGTTCCTCCCACAAAAGGTCATTATTGTGCTCTCTTTGTGGATTACGGCTGGGAAAAAAACGGAAAAACGAGCAAATAAAATCGCGAATAAAGTGATTTTGCGCCGGAGAGTAAAGTCTCTGTCTCTGTTTTCCTCTTTTCAAAGAATACATTTAAAACATAACTTTATATTTGATATTTTGCGTAAAAAGAAAGTTGCTTTCTAAAATTTTATAGGCCTTGGAAAAATTTTTAGAGATCTTTGAAATTGTGGCTGAAAAAGTTTTGCTAAGAAGAAGTTTACGAATTTTAACACACAGCAATACACGCGATAGATAGATTGTATTTTTGATTCTGTTTTATAAGCAAATAAAATCAAAGATTTCGGTGTTCGGTTTGTTGGTAACGTAATGTTACTGGGGAATGACATTTGTATTATGTTAAATAAACGGTCGTTTTCATTGATATCGATTTAAATCGTCTACAGCTGCCGCGAACACATTAATATTCATTATCTGCTAACTGAACTCCATTGTGAAAAAAAAGAGACCGATATTGGTATCTGCTTTGCTCGCTCATCCATTTTCGACTATCAGCTCGCTTCTCGAACTTTAACTTACTAATCTTTTACCTAATAACGAATTATCACATATCGTAAACTCTTCTGCACTTCTCTAGCCGATAATTACCACAAAATAATCAGTATAATTACGCAAATTGACCGAAGCAATCCGATTCGTTGGTTTTACACGCGTTTATGTACTTTAACATGTAGTGATAGAATAATCGAATTCTCACTGCGCGCTTAAGTATTCGTAAAGATACGTCTGCACTTTAATTTTTCCGATGCGTACAGATTTCTAACGAGGAAATTTTTCTGTTGATTGACGCGTGTGTCAATTGACTTGTGAAAAATCTTACGATTCTAAAGAATTGTGTAAACAACAATAGAAAGAAATGATGACGAACACACGCGGTGTAATGTTTTTTTTTATTTTCGGACGCAGGAAATTAAGCGAAATAACGAAACAAAGAGGCGTGGACACAAAGAAACAGGAAGCCTCGTCGTCGTCGACAGCGAAATAAGTCGACCACGAAAGGACATCCGGTCTTTTTCATTTGCTCTCTCTTTTTCTCTTTCCCTCACTGTTTTCTTTCCCTTGCCACAAACTTACCATTCGTTTCCTCTTGGTTTCACCTTCCGCACCACCTGTCGTTACTATGCGGATGTCAAAGATTCATCTTGATCGTAAGAGACCACTTGTGAGTTAAATTTCAAACCTCGATGCGTTCGCTCTCATTACCTCATCGGACTAAATTAAACGTTGCTTTATCGAATTTCCTATTAAACAGATTACATTTTTATCTGTAGCAAATATAGACATGAAATGTTCAGTTGACTTGCTGTGAAGAGTATTAATGCAGCGCAAACGAGAAAAGAGGGGAAAAAATTATCTTCAGTGTAGCTCTATTTTGCGTACAATCTACACATTTGTTGTTTTAAATAAAATATTTTTAAAAAACAGATAAACGAAATTTCAAATATAAAATAAATTTATAAATATAAAATTTTAAACATAAAATATGAAATATGTAAAGTATTACAAAACAAATTGAAGTTTTGACCAATTTTGTGTGTTTATTGTATCGAAAGCGAAACTATTCAAAAGAAAAAAGGTCATCGTCCTTAAAGACATCCATATGTTCTTTGGAAGTAAGAATTAACGGTCAAGTGGCGCCAGGATATTAGGAGACCTATTCAAGTAAACTTGTAAAAAGAGGACCTTTCCGTCAAACGCATTTTTCACAATCTAATTTATCGGTTTCTAATATTAGTGTGACTGAGACAGAAACACGTATAACGTGTCACAAAGAATCGAGTTTACGCGCTCGGTGGCGACCATGGTAACGTTTTGCTTGACGCACGGTGGGAGTTTTAAGAACGGCTGGACGTCAGACCAAAGCGCTGTTGGGCAAAGGGGACATGGAAAGGACGAGACGAGGAGGACGGACTGACGCAGTGGCGGATGTAAAGGGCATTTAAGAGAAGGGCACATTTGTTTTGCTTCTTTTTTTCTCTTAGTTGCAAATTCTTCACTTCGAACAATAATTTATTGCATTATGTATAATAATTTATTGTATTTTATTTACAAGAGCAAAAAGATATTTTAAATCCTACTTGTAAAGAAAATTAAGATTCTTTGCAAATAGAAGTAAAGGAATAAAATATTGTTTATCTTTATATGTTTCAACTTTCAATTTGTGTAACACCAACATGTAGCAGATTAGGATTACATAATTTGCGAAACGTTACACAAATGAGAGTTAAATTTTTTATGTTTTATTGTCTTTTCCCTCGAGTTTCTCTCTATACATCCGCCACTGCCGAGAGACAGCAAACGCGCTCTCCGCTTTACCCGACGCGCTCAGTCGCGCTTTAGCACTCACAGTGCGAGGTCACGTGGGTGATCGTAGAACATACAATCGTCGCCCTGTTTCTCTGTTCAATCTATTGCGCTTCTAAGCGCAGTTGTTCGCGCGCGTTGCATCGAACAAGAAGGTCCCTCCACAATCACTTCGTTGCAGATCTTTCCAAGCGTTTATCCGCGAACTTTCTCTATTTCGATTTGGTGCGTCGAACGTCGCGTTTGATAAAAAAAAAAAACACTGCAACGTTTGCTTGGACAGTGGTAAGAGAAATAAAGAAAGAAGAACCATTTCAACTGGTGTGTGCGTCGCGTTTCGAAAGGAACAAAATTCGGAGCAGCGATGACAACCGTCGCGATCAGCGACGAAAATCGTCGCCGGGTGTCTAAATTGAAAAATTGGACACTGTGATTTCATCACGTCTTTTCAGCGGTATTGTATCTTCTTTTTATCGCGCGCGCGCGCACACACACATACACACACACACATACATTGGATGCGCAATTTGAAAAGAGAAATATTTATATTCCGAAAGAGGAAAAGTTATTTTGATCTCTCTCTCCGAAACGGAGCTATTGAAGTCGCTTTCATGCAGATTACTACAATATCGCGCAAAAAGTCGACAAGAAACCTATAAGTAGCTACTAATAAGATACTTCTAGACGGTGGAAATATTTCGACAATAACGCGCACGAGCGTGACAACGTGAATCGCGCGTGTCTGCTCGCGAGAAGATTGTGCTCTTACCCGCGTTTTGCCGCGGGATAGAAAGTAAATTCGCACAAGGTTTCGAGCTCTCGATCTTCGACTCGAGCGGTCGGTGAGCGGGTAAAAACGAGAAGATCGTCGAAGAAGTGGAGTACACGTATCTGGATGAAGTTAAAATTCGACGCAAGCGTTCTTCGTAAGTTCGATCGCCCGGTCCGGACAAGTGATCTTTAAACATCGGTTTTTATCGCGACCGCGGTTATGATGGGAGTACTGAGATGGAGGCACGATCTCAGATCGGAGGCCGCGGCTCAGCAACAGCAAGAACAACAGCAACAGAGATCGGCGGAGCGATCCGCCAACACGCACACGTTCCCGAAGCTGCTGTCGCAGGTGAGTCTCGCGTTTGACCTTTTGATCGATCAAAGTCGACGATTCAATTTTTAAAGTTCAAAAAAAATTTCAAGGCAAAACACATTGCTTTTGCATTTTTTAAATAAAACAATTACCTACCGCGACACATCTTTCTTTTGTGCTCAAAGATGTTGGCGTTTGAAGTAAAATCGACGACTCCGCGAAAGGGATAAGAAAAAAGTGGGAGAAGACAGACAGAAAGAGAGAGAGAGGCGCAAAATGAGAGCGTTAACTGTAACTTCGACCTGGCCTGGTCTGTTCATTTTCCTAGCGCGAGATCCGTTATATACGCGCGCGCGCGCGTAATCGGTCGTCTCTTAAAAAGTTCCGATTTCCCACGACGCGCGGTTTTCTGCACGTCATTTGTGCACTGCCAGACGGCAGAAAAAGAACAAGCGAGAGAAAATCGTTTCCACATGCGGAGTCACATCGCGGATGATGCACTTTGTTTTTCTGGAACAGCGAGCCGTTGCTTGACATAGTTCTGGCGCAATGTAGAAACAATAGTAGTGCACTTGCACATCTTTTGTATCAATTAATTTGTTAATTGCAATAAGAACAAGTTCAGCAATAAATTAGATTTGTCTAGCGCAAACAAAAGATGTTGCAAAAATCAGGGAAACAAAAGGATTACTTAGATCTCACTTGCAATTACTTTCTCGAAGAAGCGGTCCGCAGTGGCTACCGTTTCAAAAGCACGGATTTGCTCTCTCACCGGTCGTTGCACACGCACCAGACGTAATTATATTCGTAAGGGCCGCGACGCTCCGAGCACGGCAAGTTACAGCTTTTAACGACCGGCTAGCACGTGCTCGACGACAGGCATTTTAATTCCCCGGCAAGAAGAGACGCGGCTATCTCTGATTGCCGGGGAATTACGCTTGTCGTTCGATGCCTCGTGCACACGATTTAACCGCGCGCGGTCAATTTGTTCGTTCCCTTTTTCGATCTCTACTTCGAAATTCGCAATCGAAACGTTGCGGCTAGCGAAACATTTAATTTGAACGGAGAATTGCCTCGCTTCGCGTCTCATTTAATGCTCTGCTTTTAATTGAAAAATTACGAGATCTTTATAAGCAAAACAAAACACAACTCGCGGAGATTAAGAGTTAAAATTAGCGAAGCTTGTCGAAAAATAGCGCGAAGTCTCTCGTTACATTCCTGATAATTAACGATGTTTTGTCTTTCGACAAAAATGTGTTTGTTCTTGCGAATGCGTTCTCATAATTTATATATCACGTCTTCATCCAGCAATACACGTATCGTGACTTATGTAATCATCAAGGAGCATTCCGCTTCGAGTTCCCAAGTAGCTCTTGTATGTAGACATTTTTTATTCGCCACGTTTTTGAAGATATATCGCGCGAAGATTGAGATCTCTGACTGCGTTTCTAGAAGTTTGATTTGTTAACACAACACGCGCGCGCGCGCGCGACAGTCAACGAAGCTCTGTTAATATAAACGGTGTTGTTTAAGAGTTACCTCTCAATAGAGATAAATTATGATTCATTAAACATCTTTAAAAGAGTCATCACCGCGGATTTAGGTATACCGCGCACTCTGTGACTCATCCTAGCACCTTTTCGATAACATACTTGGCGCGCTATGTCACATAAACCTTATCCTAGTCGTCGTCCGAGGTGGTGACGCTCGACTAGGAGAGGTCTCTCTCGTTGAAGCGGGAAAATTCATTATTCGTCGCATCTTTAGGAGCGTCGCTGATTCTCGTCTCAACGTAAGCTTTCTCGTTACTTCCATCTCGGGATTGCATAATTCATATTTCCGAACAGGAAAGAGCGATTCTGTAAAATAAGTGACGCCTCACGAGAAAATCGAGTTGAATCGGAGTCACGCGCCACGAACGGGAGTATAGAACGTTTTGTATAGACGTGAAAGACGATCGCTGAGCGAGAGCGAGCAGTCATTTTAAAAGGCGCTCCGCAAAAGGGGCCGCACAGCTGTTCGCGTGTCTCTCGTTTTTTTTCTCTCGCTCTCCTCGTTTTGACGTATAAGGTCGGACCAGGCCGAAGCAGGCTCCGACGATCCACAGTATACGAATGCGCGCACACTCGAAGGGAGATTTCAGCCAGTTATCGTCGCTGATGCTACTACATTACTAAGGGATGTCCATATAGGGTGTCTCAGGGTATGAGAGAGCGCATTCTTCAAAGTGCGCGTATAAATATGAAAAAAAGAAAGAACAAGTTTTACGGACACACATTTGCGTAAAATGCGATTTGTTACGCCTGAGAGAATGCGCGGCAAAACAATAAAAGTAAACCAAGAGACTATAAACGATAATGCAATCTTAATTAGCGCGATACAGTGCTAATGACTATTGCGACAAGCGTAATTGCGGTGTGAATGTGGCAAGGTTGAGAAAAGAGAAGAGAATGTGAAGCAAAATGTGAAGAAAGCATACAAAAACGAATGCTATTATATTAGTAAAACTAAAAATACCAAAATTAAGAATTTTAGAAATTGTTTATTTGTTTACAATTGAAACTATTTTTGCAGGAAAAGCGCATATACTCATACATATTTATTGCAAGTACAGTATCGTACAAAGATTGACTTAATTTTTGTGGAGCGCGAAGCTGAAAAAATATAACGGAGCAAAAAAAGGATATGGGGAATACGTGAATGTTACGAGGTTCACCCTGTATGAACAACCAGGTGCATTCAGTCCACAGCTGTCGGGCCGTCTGGCTTCCGGCTAACGAAATGGCGAAAAAATCGATTTGTCTTATCCGGCAACTCGGCCATTTGTTTTTGTTTTTAATTCTGTCTTCGCAAAATATTGATATTTAAAATCAATACCGTATAAATAAATAAGATAAAAAATTGTATTCTTTTTCTGAAATTACAAATCACTTTGAACAAGAGATTGTAAATGAAGTAAGAAAGAAATAAGAAAAATATAAAAAAAAATATTGTATGAGAATATAATCAAGACATCATTCTTACGTATTGATGCGTAGATCTTCGGAAGGTCGTATATTTGACTGGTCGACAACTTCGTATTTTCGACCTTAACCCCGTTCTTGTGTGCGTGATGCGATCGTAGTCGCTAAACGCGATAAAACGGTCTATTCGAGCTGGATAGACTTGATTAAGTTAGACTATTCCGAGAGAAACTCGTGGAGATTTGCACAAACGAATAGACATTCTTGGCGATGAACACTGCGATAATAACAACATAGCTTCTCTCAGAAAGAGAAATATAATATTCTCATTTTGCGCACATGGTATATTGGTAATATAAAAAGCATACATCAGTCTTATTGCCTGTAAGCTTGTTTGACAAATTTATGGCGTCAATATAGCAGCATAGTGAAAGCCTCAAGAAGAATAAAAAGAGACAAATAAAACGAAAAGAGAAGATCCCGTTATGTACACGAGCAAGTGATATTCTGAACCCTGACCCGCTTCACAATTCTGATCAATCAACCCTGCCAGTGGTAAAACGAAAGAAGGGGCAATATACGCTATCTAGTAAGTCATGATAAGCGAAAGTATGGCACACATCACGGTATAAAAACGACACTTAAACATTTTCAGACGACAACGAGAGATTTTCACTCTTCTTTAATATTTTTAGTTTCAGTCTTTTAGATGGAAGAGACACACACGTGATCTTTTTCTGGATATCTTTCACAAGATCTTGTATTATGAGGCTTTACAAATGCGCAACTGCCAAGGCACAAACGATCGGAGTCTCACCGACCACATCCAGCAGACAGTTTCATTCCTGGCACACCTCGCAAGTCCGTGTATATACGGGACTGTACATGGGCGCGTCCAACAATGCGCGCCTGCACTGAATTATTCATCTCTTCTGAGAGAGAGAGAAAGAGAGAGTCCGCTCTCCTCACTTTCGTCTCTTTTTTTCTTTCGCTCGCCGCCTACTCTGCCTACTCGCGGTTCTCCGCTTTTTTCCTCGCACGTAGAGACGGGGATTCCTGTATTCCACAACTTCCCGTCCCCCCTCTTTTTTCTTTCTCCGCGAGGCTGTCATACGATGAAGAAACGACGAAAAAAATCTCACGAGCACCTTGACCCTTCATAACCCTCTACTCCACGTCTAATCGTCATTGAGAGAAGTATCGTAGATTACGCGTTTAACTCTCGGAAGAGAGTTTCTATTCTAAAACTCTACTAAAACATGATTGGCGATATGAGTCGCGAAGAAAAATATTTTTCCCCACAATTCGAGAGTTAATTATCTCTCAAACATTTAATAAATTTCATCACGCAAACATAGCTATAAATAATTCTGAATCAGAAAGATACGTAAACGGTGAGATTTCGTCTTGAGGTGGGGATGCGGGTTCAATTTGCGGTTTGTGTTGCCGTGTTCACTACCCGAATTGAATCACAAACGCAATTAATGTTATATAAAGGGCCAGCTATGTAAAGGGCAGCACAAAGGAAATTGTAACGTTTCCGTTTTGAAACAGTGCTTTGTTAAAAGTCATATGTGCCAAGTTCACAAAGATGATATTTCGATTACGCGCGAGAGCGTATAAGAGAACGGAATCGCGCGAGAGAGTTTGCACGTTTGTTGTTGCACCGAGGTGAGCGGCATTAATAATTGTTGTGCCGCGTCAGCAAGACGATATAATTGCTCCTCATCGCGGCGCGCGCGTTACATCATCGCTTACGTGATTTCAACGCGGAGCATGATACACGTTTATTTTGCGGGGTCCGTACGTGCGCGCTATCGCGAGGACTAAAGAGAGCGAGTACGTTTGCCTCTGCGTGTCATAACCAGTTCTCGGATCTCTCTCTTTGTGCGCGACCGTTTCAGATAAAAACGACAATGCAACAATAAGGAGAGTAGAAATCGATTGACGTTCTGACGATGATCGGTTGGAATCTCGAACTGTATTTCTCTCCAACACACTCTGAATTATATTTATTTATTTAAAGCATATAAACAAACTCTGAATTAAAAACTCCACTATTTAAAAATACAA